GGTTAGCCCCGGTGTCTGGGGTGCCAAGACAAGAAATGGGCCTGGACCCAGTGTAGGAGAAGAGACTCAGCAGGGGAGCTGGGAGTGTAAAAGAGGTTGGGGGAGTCGAGGCATGCTGGGTACACTGGACTTACCCAGGGAAGGTGCTGGTACCAGGACACTGGAGGCTGTGCATCCCAGGGAAGTAAAGGGAGGTGAGGGTGGGACCAGGCCCAGAGGGTTTCCTGGGGACAGTAGGGAGGAACTGGGTTGGTCTGGATGCAGAGGATCAGGAAGCAGTGGTGGCTCTAGGCCGAGAGGTTGGCCCAGGTGTCTGGGGTGCCAAGACAAGAAATGGGCCTGTACCCAGTCTAGGAGGAGAGACTTGGCAGTGGAGCTGGGAGGGTGAAAAAGGCTGGGGGAGTCAAGGCACACTGCGCATGCTGGACTTACCAGGGAAGGTGCTGGAACCAGGACAGGAGAAGCTGTGCAACCCAGGGAAGTAAAGGGTGATTGTTTTCTAAAATATTTTATTATTTTTATTTTATGTGTGTGAATGTACTGTGTGCATGTGTGTAGGTGCACCCATGTTGTGCAATGCCCACAGAGGTCAGAAGAGGGTGATGGATTTCCCTGGAACTGGAGATACAGACAACAGTTATTAGACACCATGTGGGTGCTGGGAATCAAACCCAGGTCTTCTGCAAGAGTCAGTGCTCTTAACCGATAAGTCATCTCTCCATGCCCCCCATTTGATTGTTTTTTATTCTGTTAGCTGGGTAGCCTTTAATATTATCAGACAACTTAGCTCTTAAGCGACTCATAGAATTACTTGAAAACTATTTTGAGTATGGTGTCAACATCACTACACACTCCAGAGGATATACTGGACACAGAAGCAACATCAGTTCTAAAGTCAAATGACATGAGTTCAGGGTCATCCAGAATGTTCTCTAGGCCAGAATGCCAAGCGTCTGCTTGAACTTCCTAAACAATTTTCTTCTGCTTTATGCAGGCATAATTGGAAGAACTTAAATAACTTCTTGTTCTCACCTAACTAATGAGTACTAAAAGGCACATACTAAAAAGAAGAAAGCATGAGTACATGTACTCATCTGTAAGTGTTCAAAATATATTAATGAAAGAAAGGCATAAGTAAACAGCAATGAATATAGCAATAATTTATTCTGAATCTGGACCAGAGTCTAATCATACAAACTGTGTATGTGTGTTTCTGTATTAAATGCATAGAAAAGTCTAAACGACACATACTAACTGTTGATAATGGTTATGCCTCAAATAGGAAGAAATTCAAAAATCAGCCATTGTTTGTATGTTATACAACGAGCATCACTCTTCAAAGTGACAAAGGTTAAAAGGTAAAGTGCCTGGCAAATAGGAGCAAGCCAATAAACTGTCAGATTATTTTTACAAGTATATAACAAGTATCAATTTTTACTAGAAGAGAAAAAAATTCACTAACTTAGTACCATATGTATAAAGACTTCAAGAAAAATGATTTCCATCTTAGGTGATGATGGTATCTCAAACTCTATGAAAAAAAAATCAAAGAAATTTAAGAAAATCTGACTTTAGATTTATTCCCTAAAAATAAAATAAAAAATTAAAAAAAAAAAAAGGACAGTATCCCTATGCAACAATCAGTCCATTGTTGGAGCCTGAATATCATCAGTCCTACGTACCTTCTCAGTTACTCAAAGTCATCTGTATGAATAACTATGGATTTTGGTTAATTTTTTTAAATATTTTATTTATTATTTTTATGTGTATGAGGGTATTGCCTGCATGCAGGTAAGTGCACTCATGTCATGCATTGCCCACAGAGGTCAGAAGAGGGTGTTGGATCCCCTGGAACTAGAGTTATGGATGGTTGCTTGCCACCTTGTGAGTACTGGGAATCAAACCCTGGTCCTCTGCAAGAGCAGCCACTGCTCTTACCCCTTGAGCCATCTCTCCAGCCTGACTCTGTTTCTTTTTTAAGATACAGTCTTGCTATCAGCCCAAGCTGGCCTGGAGCTATGTAGTCCAGTCTGACTTTGAATTTATGATTCTCCTGCTTCAACCTCCAGAGTGCTGGGAGCATGGGCAAGTACCACCACACCTGGCCCTCCTTTCATTTCTTTCTATGAAATGTAAATATATAAATATACTACTATGATAAATTGATACTACAGTGCTTTCTAATTGGTATATTATAAAACAGAGTTTTTCTGAAACATACTTTAAAATATTTTTAATAACTAATAGCCTATTCAGACAAACATAATTCATTTAAGATTTCCTTATGGGGTTGGAGAGATCACTAAGCAGTTTAGAGCACATGCTACTGCTACTCTTTCAGAGGACTGCAGTTCCCAGCACCCACATTAGGCAGCACACAACCACCTGTAATTCCAGCTCCAGGGGATCTGATGCCCTTTTCTGGCCTCTGTGAGAACCTGCACTCACATACACATACCCACACATAGACACAGACACAGATACACACACATATACATAACTAAAAATGAATCTTTGGGGGCTGGAGAGGTGGCTCAGCAGTTGAGAACACTGACTTCTTGCAGAAGACCAAGGTTCAAATCTCAGCACCCACATGGCAGCTAACAACTGTCCATAACTTCGGTTCCAGAAGATCAGACAGCCTCTTCTGTCCTCTGCGGGCATTGCACTTACCTACATGCAGGCATAACACTCATACGTAAAATAAAAATAATAAATACATACATAAATCTTTAAAAATTATTTATTATAAGGTCATTCAATGTGTTCCAAATTTTTGCTATTATACTAATAATGAAAATGTAATCATTTCTATAAATTATTCTTTTGCTTAAAATGATCAGATTATAAAGATTATACTTTTTCAAATGTGGTATTTCTTTTACTGAATCAATGATTTATGGCACTATCTTTTTTTCTTTTTTTGGTCTTTTTGAGATGGAGTCTCCCTGTAACCCCAGCTGATTGGAACTTACTATGTAGACCAGGCTGGCCTTGAACTCACAGAGATCAGCCTGCCTCTGCCTCCCAAGTGCTGGGATTAAAGGCATGCACCACCATGCCCAGCTATGGCATTATCTTAATAATTAGTAAAGTTTCTTTCTAAGTTGCTTTAACAATAAAAACAGTTTTACTTATACCATTCGTGTATTTATATTTGGCTCTTATACCTTTTCTTTTTTTTATTTATTTTTTACCATTCTGAATGAATTCTGGTCTAGTTTTATAATGGTATTCTTACCCAAGCTCCTAAAAAAAATCTCATGGAATTTTGCTTGAACATGGGATTATAGACTTAATATAGAATGAGCACCTATAAATTAGTGAAATTTTACTTCATTTTAAAATTCTGAACCCCAACAGCTACAGTGGCATAAACCTGTAATTCCAGTTCTAGAGAAACTGAGGCAAGAGACCTCTGAGCTCAAGGCTAGCCCAGGCTATCTATGCAAGACTTTGTCTCCATTTTTATTACAGATAAAATATATAGTTTTACTAGTTTGTTATATGTTTTTGGATTTATGGTATTTTCAATTTCTTAAATTCAAATATAAAAATTAAAAAATATTATCAAGTATTAGGTGTTTCTATCATTAAAAAGCCCTCAGCTTTTGTCAAGCTTTTGTAAAATAACTGCATATATTCTCCTCCAACACAACTATAATTTCATGTTTAAAATATAAGTTTCCACACTATTTAGAAGTCCAATATCCAGGAGTGGTAGCACATGCATTACTCCCAACATTTAGGAGACAGAGGCAGGAGGATCCCTGTGAAGTCAAGGCTAGGCTGATGTACACAGTTAAGTTCCAGGACATCCAGGACAACATAGTGAATCCTTGTCTCAAAAAATAAAATACAGGTTCTGGGGAGATGGCTCAGAGGTTAAAAGCTCAAATTGCTCTTGCGGAGGACCTGAGCTCAGTTCTCAGCATCCACATGAGAGCTAACAACCATCTGTAACTCACGTTCCAGGGGATTCAATACCCCTCTTCTGATCTCCAAGGGCATTGCATGACACAGGTACACTTACATACACACAGGCAATACTCATTAAATGAATAAATACATAAATAATAAAATATTTAAAGGTAAATAAAGTGATTTGCCACTTGGAGAAGGAAAAAGTACAAGTTCAATAAAAGACACTACAAGAAAGGGACCAAGAAAGTGTTTAAAACATACTTCGTTAGTTTGGGGGGATGCTCTATGACTGGTCTGTGTTTTTCAACTAATATGAAATGCCACATTATTAATTGACTGAACACTCTCATATGCTTGATTCTGTTGCTAGTCTATTCCATTTCATTTGATTCTGGCCCTAAAACACTGTACGATTTTAATTACGGCTTTACCATTACCTAACATGCACAGGGCCAAGGGTTTAATCCCAGGACCACACACAAAAATATTATAGCTTTAAAATATGTTTGTGGGAGGGCTGGAGAGATGTCTCAGTGGTTAAGAATGCTGACTGTTCTTGCGGAAGACCCGGGTTCAATTCCCAGCACCCACATGGCAGCTAACAACTGTCCATAACTCTAGTCCCAGGGGATTCAAGAGTCTCTTATGTCCTCCACAGGCATTGCACAGCACGGGTGCACTTACCTACATGCAGGCAATATATGTATATACATAAAATAAATAGGGGCTGGAAAGATGGCTTAGCTGTTAAGAGCACTGACTGCTTGCTCTTGCAGAGGACCCGGGTTCGATTCCCAGCACCCACATGGCAGCTACAAACCATCCTTAACTCCAGTGCCAGGGAAATCTGAAGCCCTCTTCTGACCTCCGCGGCATTTCACAACATGGGCGCACTCACATACATGCAGGCAATATACTCATACACATAAAAATAATATTTTAAAAAATAAAAATAATAAAATTTTTAAAAAATGTTTGTGGCTATCAATAGGCATCTTCCATACAATAATAGTGTATAAAATTAACAGAATAAAGGAACAGCAAAATTTGTTATTACATAGAAAATTCAAACTTACTCCAGTTGCCACTCGAATATTTCCTGATGGGGGTCTTATTCCAGAAGGAGGCCTTCCTGGTAACCCAATTCCACCCCTTGAAATCGGGCGAGGGGTTGAAGATTTGTGATTACTGGCCATTGTGCACTTTAATTACTGTTTGGAAACAAAAAATAATTCAGTTTTCCTTTAAGGTCTTGTACAGCAAGTTACAAGTAGCCCATCATACTGTTCCTTCAAACATTTGATTCATGATGATTTTTATTGCAAATCGACATTCCCAGGTACTATTATAAGGCTAAATCAGCTTTAATTTTGTTCAAATTTTACTTTAATACTCCATTTAAAACTGTAAGACTGGGTTCAATGAAATGGCTCAGGAGGTACAGGCAGTTCCAAACAAGCCTAGTGTGGTGGTTTGAATGAAAATGTCCCCCATAGGCTCCAAGTGTTTGGACACTTTGTCCCCAGATGATGGCACTGTTTTGGGAGGTTTTAGAAGGTGTGGCTATCCTGGAGGAAGCATGTCACTGGGGGTAGGTTTAGAGAGTTCTTAAGCCTTGCCAGATCTCCAGTTGCTCTCTTGCTTCCTGGGCCTGTGTGACAATGTGAAATCTTAGCTTCTGCTGCTCCTGCTCCAGCCACCTCCAGCCACCATGGCTCCCTGACATGACGGACTGTAAATCCCCTGGAACCGTAAGCTCACATAAACTCTTCCATCTCTAAATTGCTTGGGTCTGTGTTTCTATCACAGCAGCAGAAAAGTGACTAATACACCTAGTGACCTGAATTCCAGCTCTGGAACCCACAAAAAGGTGGAAGGAGATAAATGATGCCACAAAGACGTCCTCTGATTTCCACATGTGCACTGTGGCATGAGCACCACCACATATACATCATGCACTTACATGCACACCTCCTCTTCCTCCTCCTCATCAAAATCTAGAAAAATGAGATCATTTATCAATATTCTACCTCCCAAAATTCAAGCCCCTTTGAACTAATTCTCTCTCCTGATGTTTCTGGTCCTTAAGTATGTTCCCATCTGTTCCTGTCACTCTCAGCAAATAACGTGATTTCCAAATAATTTGCGAAAGTTTTGACATAAACTTTATCACCTTTGGTGCATATAAATGACCAGCTCCATCCTGCTCTCAACCTCAACAGTCATTCCTCTCACTCAAGATGAACGTCTACTCTGATTTGCCCTCTTGATGCCATCAACTTTAGTAAACCATACACCAATCGCCCATGGAATATTTTCCCCACTGCTGCTGCTATCTTTAAATTGTATTGCTATGTTCAACTTTTTTCCTAACCATAGATCTAATTTCTTTGTCCTGAAAATATCTCTAACCTGTCCTAGATAGTCTTTCCATATGCAATCAAACTCTCCAAAGTGGCCTGTTTCCATCATCTCCTGGACTTGTACTATTCCATTTAGAAGTCCCCCTGCCAATTATGACCAGGAATGTTAAAGATCATCTTTCTCTGATGTCCACTCTTATGTGAAGCAACCTGCAGGGCACACCCCATTCTACTTCTCTTTTCAGGCTCCCTCATCGAATTCTATCATAGTCTACTCGCCTTTTTGGAGGCAGCATTCCACACAATGCCATCCCCGTCTTTTTTTTTTTTCTTCTCTAACCTCTCCTTTCAACCTCTCATCCACACAAGAGTTTAATCAATTAGTAAGCTGAAAATTCACAACTCCTTATATCCAGCCCTGACACATTCAGGTTCAGGTTTTTATATACAGATAATTATTTAATTTCTCCACTCAGACACTCAGTATTTCAAAACAAACATATATACATCTGTCATCTCCCCCAAACTGGTCCTCTTGGTGCTACCTCTTACTAGTCAAAAACTTAGTCCTTGACTTCTCCTCTTCCTCTCTTCCCATAGGTTATCAGCCTTACTGAATTATCCTAAAAATGTTTAACATGTACCTTCCTTTCTATTTTAGAGTATCAGCAGGCAGTGCCAGGTCTCACTACTCCAAACCACTTCTACCTTCTTAGAGCTTGTAAATCTGTTATATATTCTACCATATACACTGCACACAACTCTGCTCCAATATCTACAACACTAACTGAAATAAGCTTTGAGAGCAAAAGCTGGCTCTTATTCATTTTTAAATCCTCAGCATCTGTCTCAGTGGCAGGGAGAAACTTCATTGTTTTTACACCTTTCAGTTCCCTCCTATAGAGGGCATTCTCAATTACAAAAATTTACTATGTTTGAGCTGAAGGGGTATCTCACTGGTAGACCAATTAATCTCCAGCACCAACAAAGAAAAGAGAAAATTTTAGTAAATTGTACCTTTAATGATAAACGCTTGAGTAGACAGATACATCTAACCTGACTTAAAAATTTTTAAATAGGGGCTGGAGAGTTGGCTCAGCAGTTAAGAGCACTGACTGCTCTTGCAGAGGACCTGGATTTGATTCCCAGCACCCACACGGCGGCTACGAACCATCCTTAGCTCCAGTTCCAGGGGAATCCGAAGCCCTCTTCTGACCTCTGCGGCATTGCACAACACAGGTGCACTCACATACATGCAGGCAATACACTTGTACAGATAAAATAAAAATAATAAAGTATTAAAAAAAATTTTTTGGTCTTTTTGAGACAGGGTCTCCCTGTAGCCCCAGCTGTCCTGGAATTCACTATGTAGACCAGGCTGGCCTTGAACTCACAGAGATCCACCTGTCTCTGCCTCCGGACTGCTGTGATTAAAGGCATGCGCCACCAAGCCCGGCTAAAAAAAATTTTTTAAATAAACAAGGTATGGGGATGCACACCTATAATCGAAGGAAGGGGGGGAGATAGGAGTAGGAAGGGAAGGGCTGTAACTGCAACAAATACTGTTGACCTAAAATGCCATGTTTCTACACCCCATGCTCAGTACTCTCTTTTCTTTGAACCACCATGGTCAATTGTTGGATTGTAAACTCCTGCAATCTTACATACCTTTTAGTTCCAACTATGATAACTCATAAATCAATGTCCACAATTCTATCATTTAAACTGTGCACCAATCCTGAACATTCAGTTGTTTACTGAAAACGTTGCTTTAGCTATACCATGATCTCTTTATGTAGGAAAAATGAACAAACCCACAATCTCCCTATTCCAATAGCTCCCTGCCTCTGCTTCCTTGTGGTTTTGAACTGCACAGACTAAGCAACAAAATTATTTCACTTGAAATAGGAAGGTTCATAATGTAACTTTTTGAAAGGCAGGTTCTATGATCAAAACGGATTTTCCAAGGGCTGGAGGGATGGCTTAGGGGTTAAAAGCAGTAACTGTTCTTTCAGAGGACCCAGGTTCTGCTCCCAGCACCCACATAGGGTCTACCACCCATCTTTAACTCCAGTTCTAGGGGATCTAATGACCTCTTCTGGCCTCAGCGGGAAGTGCATGCACTTGCAATACATGAAAGCAAAACACTCATACACATAGAAAATAAAATCTTAAAGTTTCTTCAAAAGATAGTAAAACAAACCCATTATTTCCAGCAGAATTAGTTGGTGTTACTCAACTTTCTTGTTAATATTGAGAAAATATATAATTTTCTATATTTTATTTAATATTTATTATTTTCTGTGTACGCATGTATTGCCTGCATGTAGGTAAAGTGCACCCTTGTCATGCAATGGCCCCGGAGGACAGAAGAGGCCGACGGATCCACTGGAACTCGAGTTACGGACAGTTGTTAGCTGCCATGTGGGTGCTGGGATTCGAACCTGGGTCTTCTGCAAGAACAACCAGTGTTCTTAACTGCTGAGCCATCTCTTCAGCCCCCCAACAGTTTTCAAAATTCCACTTGGTTTTCTTTACCCCTGCCTTGGTGTAATGGAAAGCGGGTATCACATCAGCCCAGTTAAAGAGAAAGGGAGGAGGGGCACTCGAGACAAACAGGTGCTAGCTCTGGGGTGTCAGACCCATATTCACAGCATCTTGGGGCATGAGAGCTGTGTTCACTGGTCCCTCCGGCCGGTAAGGACCACTTCTCACGGTGATTACGTAATTTGGAGCGGCACCCCCCGGAAGGCGCTTTCTAGTCTTCAAACACAAGTGTCCCCAGGAGTGCTGGTTTGGCCCTGTCGTGCGGCCATCGATCTTATCTGGGAAGCTTCCAGCTCCTAGTTACGGTTTCTACCGTTATCCTCCCTACGCCAACCATCCCGACTTACGAGCAGCGCAAAGTTGCTAAGTCCGGTCCCCTGCAGGCACTGAGAGGCCGGCCCCTCCCGGTTCGGAACCGAGTGCAGACCCGGCCCGGCCACGCGGTGAGCGGCCCGAGCCCTGGAGAGTGGCGTAGCCTACGACGTCCCCGCAGGGGCGGCCGGGCCTCGGCGCCAGGTCCTCCCGCCTCCGCTCAGCGCGCAGTCTTCCGGGCCGCCACCCCGCGCCGCCGCGTCGCCCAGCAACCGGTAGAGCCGGAAGCCGCCCCTCCGGATTGGCCGCTGCCCGCGACCCTGGGACCCGGAGCGCAGAGCTCTCGCGAGACTGTGTGTAGGAGCGTAACCCGCTTTCTCGGCTCCTTGTTTCTTTTTGGAGTGTCTCTCTAGCTCTCTCTTTCTCTCCCCCACCCCATCATTGGGTCATTGGTGTTTCATTTTGCTTGGTAACTTGCTTTTGTGTGGTACTGGGGATTAAATCCCCTGAATGCCAGACAAGCAGTCTACTTACTCTTAAATTAAAAATTACATCCCCAAACCAAGATTCTTTTGTTTTTTTATATAGGGAGTTAGTTACTCAGGTTACATTAAGTAACGCTAAGTTTAAAACTTTGTGTGTCTGTAAACTACAGTTTCTTTTAATCTGTAGGTCATGAACCCACAGAGTCATTTAATTGAATGTGGGGTCTCCAAAACTTGACAAGTTTCTAAACATGCAATAACCAAAAATTAACTTAAAATCAAAGTAATGAATCAGGTGTTTCTGGCAGCACTCTGCCCATGTTGGTCTTCTGACGTCCCTGTTTAGCCTCTAAACACACATGGGCAGTGGGCATACCTCACAGAGCCAGCCAGAGCGGCCTGTTGAAAGACCGCGCCCCAATTACCCGGGAACAAAACCAACCACTGCTGGATACAACAAGCATGAGGGGTTTATTTAAGTACACAGGTACCTGCGGGCGCACCAGGCTCGGAGCTGTGAGCGCGCCCGGGTGGGTCTGGGGTAGCACTTATATACCTAAAGCAGGAAGCAGGTTCTTACAGAAGCAAATGCATGGTAACAGACTTATGATTGGAGAGTCTAAATCAGGCACTGGTGGGGCCATCTGGAGGGGGCGGGCGTGACGGACGGTTGAGTTCGGGGGAATTTAGATCAGTATCTACTTCAGCTTGTTTTGGCCGATCTGAGCACATCTGGGTTTCTAGGGTTTTTCCACTTAGGGTTAGAACATTCTTTCCCACGGCTGCTTTTTTTTTTTTTTTAAGTTGAAGGGGCTACATCTCGAGGGTCTTTCATTCCCCACTCTTTCTAGTGCCTGGGAAAAATCTTTTACCTTTGTTACGGGATTTCGGAGTCTGCAGTGTTCAGCATTTGGTATTGATTTTTAAGAACTAAGGTCTGCACAACAGATAGGCGGTCCCTCACGAACTGAAGTATTCTATTGAGGATACAGGGCCCAAGGGTCAGCAAGAGGAGGATGATAAAGAGGGGGCCTAGAAGGGTGGAGACTAGAGTAGTTAACCAAGGGCTATTATTAAACCATCGTTCAAACCAGGGTTGTGAGGCTTCTCGTTCTTTCTGCCTGGCGTCTAGCCTTTGGCGGAGCTTGGCCATGGAGTCTTTAACGACCCCAGAATTGTCTGCATAAAAGCAACATTCCTCGCCCAGTGCCACACACATTCCTCCTTCTTTTAAGAATAACAGATCTAACCCCCTTCTATTTTGAAGTACCACCTCAGCGAGGGAGCTAAGGGACTCTTGTAAATATGAGACAGATTGCTCAAGATCTCTAATATCTTCACTTATGGCTTTTTCTAGGTTAGCATATAACTGGGGCCCTTGTACTAAGGCTGCTGTCCCGGTCCCAACTCCTGCCGCGACTCCAGCCCCGAGGAGTAAGGCTAAGGTTAGGGACACAGGTTCTCGTTTAGCCCAGTGAGGCCGCTGTTCAAAGGACTGCTCCACCTCCCCAGCAGGATGGTAAAATATTCGGGGCAAAAGTTTAACCATTATGCAGAAGCCCCCAGTGCCGTTAAGGATATCGGGGCTCAGACATGGAGTGAGTCCCGCATTACACGCCCACCAGGTTCCTGGTTGGGGTAGGAGATAACTACCTTGCTCTTGAGGGGAGTCTATAGTCTTGTTGCAGAGGTGGGTGTGAGTCTGAGGGGGTTTTCCTAAGCAGAGCCGGGACCCCGAGACCTCCGCAAGAGTCAAGGGGTGAGGAGTTCTTGCGTGGCATCGGGGTTCGGACACAGTAACATTACTGTAGTTTCCTAGGGTGGCAATTCCTTCATAATAGGGCGGGGCTGCCGCCAAGCACAGCCAACAGGACTTAGCCCGTTCGGGTGCAGTTTGATTAAGGGCTGAATGGGCTCCCAGGACTAGGTTAAGCAGTCGATCCCCCGCGATCCCCCGCTCGAGCTCGGGAACTCACTCCCGAGGTGTGGTTGGGGTGAGAGAGGTTAGCCCCCACTGGAGTCGTAGCCCCTGGTATCTGCGTTCCACTAGGGGGATCGTTCCCTAGGAGTCCCGTTAGGAGACGATTGGGGCCTACGGGGCATGGGGAGATGGTGGCTATCTCTCTTTTGAGCATAAATAACCCGAAAGGGTCGTAAGTGGTTTTTCGGTATAAGAACAGGCCCCATACTCGGGTTTTGTCCCAGCTATCTTGTTTACCTTTTTCTGTAAATTGCAACTGATGGAAGTTGCACCTCCCTCCCTCATTGTTACGACAAGAGCTTTGGGAACCACTCTGGACTTTGGACACCTTGATTAAATCCCACGTTGAAGAAGGGTTCCAGTAGACACTCCCGGTAGTTTCACATCCCCAATGGTAGCAATAGCCGTACTCTGGCCCTCCACACCTATAGTTCTCGGATACATCTCGCCCCGTGCCTGGGCACACATATACTGTTTCTCCATCCCAATCATCCCAAACACAAGGGGCCCCTGGACTTAGTACCTTGCATACATCAAAGGTCAGGGAAGCTGGGAAGCTGGTCATCAGGGGACCTTCCATCCGGGTTTGGTTTAGGGTTAAGCCCGAGGTGAGACTGGAGAGGGTCCAGGTGACTGAATAGTGTTGGTGGGGGTTTTCTGCAGATTTCCCAAGGGCAAGCCCAAGGGATGCTAGAAATATCAGGAAGCCTTGGAGAGCTTGATTTTTAGGGGGTTGGGGGATCGGGTGACTCGCCATGTTCCGGCTGGGGCAGCTTCTTGGTGCGCGGGGTCCGCAGCCTTCACGTGCGACGCGTGGATCCATGCCGCAATTCCGTCCACCTTCAGGGCCGTAGGGGTGGTCAGTAGTACTGTATACGGTCCTTTCCAGCGAGGTTCGAGGTTCCTGGTTTGGTGCCTGTGAACCCAAACACTATCTCCAATCTGAAAGGGATGGGGAATCACTGGTGTTGCTGCGGAGTCTTGGTATGCGGCAGCGAGGGGTTTCCAAATCTCTCGTTGCACCAACTGCAGGGCTTACAGGTGTGCATTAAAGGTGATCCACTCTGAGGAGCAGAGAGTAGTCCACTTCGTTTTCTTTATTTCCACTGATTGATTGTGGGCTCTGCTCTTTACTTCTTTCCAGTGGTCTAGGGTAAGACTCAAAGGGGTGGTTAGTCCTTGCCCCATTGTGGGGTCCTCTAAAATTACAATGAGACAGACACACAACAGAGACAACAAAAATAGACAGCCGGCGACGAGACACCGCTTAGCGCGACTCCGGAGAAAAACTGAAAGTACAAATTCAGATGGCGAAGTTGACACTTCGCTCCCCAAGTGCACGTATCCTTCAGATGCGTGCTGAGCCCCAAAGTATCGGGCTCCCCAGACCCTTGGGGCGTCCCCCAGGGTGGCGGTAGGAAGGCCTGAGCTCGTCAGCTCCCTTCCGAAAACCGCCCAGGTACAGAGAGGTCCGACCCACAATCGCAGCGCTGTAGAACACAGAACTAAAAACACAAAGCGGGTGCAAGACAGGACAGGGCGCTGGCCAGCTTACCTCCCAGCAAGGCCAGGGTTGCTCCGGGTCGCTGGGTTTGGTGGAAGATCTCGGTGGGACCTCCAAATGAAAGACCGCGCCCCAATTACCCGGGAACAAAACCAACCACTGCTGGATGCAACAAGCATGAGGGGTTTATTGAAGTACACAGGTACCTGCGGGTGCACCAGGCTCGGAGCTGTGAGCGCGCCCGGGAGGGTCTGGGGTAGCACTTTTATACCTAAAGCAGGAAGCAGGTTCTTACAGAAGCAAATGCAGACTTATGATTGGAGAGTCTAAATCAGGCACTGGTGGGGCCATCTGGAGGGGGCGGGCGTAACGGACGGTTGAGTTTAGATCAGTATCTACTTCCGCTTGTTTTGGCCGTTCTGAGCACATCTGGGTTTCTGGGGTTTTTCCACTCAGGGTTAGAACATTCTTTCCCACGGCTGCTTGTTTTTTTTTTTAAGTTGAAGGGGCTACATCTCGAGGGTCTTTCACTGTAATGCCTCACCTCAGAAATACAGTGGTTTGTTGATCTTGTGGAGTTCGGTGGTTGGTTTGTTTTTGTTTTTGTAGGATTTTTGGTGCAGGGAATTGAATTTAGGACATTACATGTGCTAGGCAAGTACTTTACCACTGAGCTATATATTCCCAGCCAGAATTGCAGTATTTTTACTATTGAGCTTTCTGCCTCTTAAAACATAATTCAGCCAGACATGGTAGCATATGCCTTTAAGCCCAGCACTTGGGAGGCAGAGGCAGGTGGATCTCTGTGACTTCAAGGCCAGCCCAGTCTACATAGTGAGTTCCAGGCCAGCTGGGGCTACAGGGAGACCCTGTCTCAAAAAGACAAAAAACAAAAAAACCCACATAATTCAGGGTCAGGCCGTTAATCCTAACAGCACCCTAGAAGCAGAAACAAATGAATCTCTGAGATCAAGGCCAGCCTGGTCTACACGGCCAGTTCCAGGCTGGCTGGGACTACAAAGAGACCCTGTCCCTGTCTCAAAAATGAAAAATATCTGTTCATCATTCAAGATTAGTCTCCAAGTCTTGGCCTGTTCCTCTATTGTATATGTACTTAATACAACCTGAACTTTTCCTACTAAAAGCCTTTGAAAGATAAATTTTGGCACATTAAAAGTTAAAACTCTGGGGGGCTGGAGAGATGGCTCAGCAGTTAAGAACACTGACTTCTTGCAGAAGACATGGGTTCAAATCCTAGCACCCACATGACAGCTAACAACTGTCCATAACTCCAGTTCCAGGGGATCCGACAGCCTCAT